AAAGTGGACGTAAAAAAACGACATACATCAATGTCTTTCTGTACGGGAGTCTTTGAAACATGATAGAATTGTGAAAGAATTAGAGTGCAAGAATGCTGCAAAAGTGAAGTATAACCATGTTAGTATAAAAAACAGTGTATACCTATTTCTTTATGAACGAGCTCCTAGAGAGTTTATAATTTTGCGGTGTCTGTCCGCCCGTCTGTCCGTTAGCACGATAACTCATAAACGACCGATTACGATGAAATTTTGCAGGTGGATTCTTTATCAAATGCAATGTAGACCAAAAAATAAAGTAGGCCCTTCTGACATCTCCGTTAGTTATGAACCGAATTGCATGAAATTCAATATGCGCATAGCTTTAGCCATATAAAATACAATTCCAAAAGCTGAGCCTAAGCGATCAGCATTCACAGTGCGCTTTGCGCATCTCGAGCATTTACAGACCGAATTGCAAACTTTCTTATTTATGAAGGTATTTAAATAAAATTTGATACATAGCCACTTGAAATAAAAGCAAAACTAACATCAGGTTTAAAATTTGGTTTTGCACATGCTATAGCCATACCCAGGAGCTTGTTTGCTATATTTTTTTAATTTATTTTAGGCTCGTCTTGTTAGGAAGTGGTTTATAGTAGGAAGGATATTTATGATATTTTAAAGGGTCATTTAACAGGCCGTTTATTTGACCTACTATCGGAACGTAGCGGAAAATAGATAAAAATTCATGAAGACATGAAAGCATCATTTTCTACACTATTTTCTAAAATGAGACATAAGTTGCAAACTGTGCATCGAACCGAAGAAAAGTGTTTTCAAAAATCCAGTGTTTGGCTGAGTAAACCCGTTACGTTCCCAATCTTAGGAAAGGTACCATCGACTAGAGGCAGACCAACAAAGAAATTTCTGTCATCCAGCGAAAGATCCAAAAAAGAAAAACTGAAGAACTTCAGTACTTTTAGTCCACAAGAACTGGCAAACGCAGCACAATCAAGTCTGCGTTCTATAGGTCAATTGGATGCAACCAAACTTCTCAAAGAAGCTGCCCTTAGTACTCCTACGAGGGCAGCAAGGTACGAACTTTAAGTTAACGTCTGAAACTCGTTTCAGTAATGAAAGTGCCCTTTCAATATTAATTGAGATTACGCTTTCGAAACGCCAATATCAAGTTCTACGACTAACAAGTATGGAACAAAACTGCAGACTATATCCTTCTTATAAAAATTTCGGAAAATAGCGCTGAGGCCCCAACAATTGCTGATCATAGAGCTCAGCGTATAATACAAACTCAAGAAACAGTTATTGACACTTTGAGTAATGAAGATTTACAGAACTTAACACTTTTTTTTTAAATGTGATGGAAGTTCCGGAGAGAGTGAGTAACAAACACCTCTTCCCTTTATGTAACAGTTTTGCCAAACTCCCCTCCTAAAATTACATTAACACTTTAAAAACCAACCCCTCTTTTTTATGTACAAACATTTTTAATTTTTATTTCATTTAAAAAAAATTAAAAAATTGCAAATCATACATGGGTTTTCAGGTGTGTAGGTACACTGTAAAAAACATTTTCGTGAATATTTTGCCTATAAAATATAAATAACTTCTTTTTGTTTGGCTTGATCGCTTGAGGTTTTGTGTGATATTGCACGATTTTCTTCTTCTTCATCTTAGTTGCTAGAGACGTCTGCATTAGAATTGTCATTTGATTTATTTTCCAGTTTTGAAGGACCTCACGAGGTATATTTATATTATATTTACCGTGAATTATTTTAGCTTCGAACATATCAGCAAGTTCATTTATGACTGCGCTGCGGTGAACTCTCTTCCATTGTCACATTGGAGGATGTAAGGAGCACTTATTATACAAAAAATGTCTAAAAGATTGTGAGGTACCTCCGTAACTTTTTTAGATTTCAAAGGTTTTAAAAACACTAATTTTGTTAGAGGGTCCTGATAATTTAAAATAAATTATAGGCTTCCTCTGGTTCTGTTTGCATATCTATAAGATCCACCAGCCCTCTTGAGTTCATGTTGTTGCTCAAAATTGGTCTACGTTTTCTACGTCCCCAATGGTTAAAATGTCATACCTACCTCACACTGACACTGGAACCGAATTTGTTAAACGTTGGTCGTTTCATATTTGCACGATCGTAGGTTTGGCTGTTTGGAGACGGTCAAAGCCCGAAATTGAAAGGAAATTCGGGCTTTGGTCGTTTTAAATAGCCCAATTCTAAGATTGAGCAAAGAAAGCGCCCAACATATTCATGGTATTACATACCCACTTCTGTACATAAAGTGTTAGTATATGGAAAAGAAGTTATTGAAAAAGCATTATTACCTATTGGACAATTATACGAGGATGCTCAAGAAGCATAAAGGAACAAGGATATTAAAACGTATCGTGCAGATTTTTCTCGAAAATTTTCAAGATTGGAGACAATGGAAGATGTATTCAATAGACTGCATGTGTCTTCTGATTCGTACATTTTGGGCCTCGGAAATCTTCCAAAGAAAACATTAAAACAATTTTTACCAAAAGCATTGGAATTTCTTATAGCCAGCGGTTCCCAAAATCAGTTAAGAATTGTATCAAGTGTAAATGGTGACTCTGAAAGAGATTTCGAGTCAAGCTAATTTGAGTTTTGAGACCTATGTGCGACGGTGGGAAAGGTCCACATACGTCTGCCGACATAAGTTCTCCTAGTTTACGAGCCCTCACTCGATGTCGGAACGGTAGCATGGGTGTCTTCTCAAAAATGCGTGATTCGACGTGGTTTGACCTGGTTCATCTTTTTAGCGCATTTCCACAAAAATAAAAAAATGCGCTATTGTGGCCACTTCGTCCGCCCGTTTGTCCGTCCATCCATTGGGACGTTACTAGTTCTTTATCTTAAGAGCTATTGTTCTACTTTTTTCGCTATTTGGTTCGTTATGGTGTCGAGGCTTGCGCCAAGGAAGGGAGGAATTTTTTCTGCGATTTTTTTGCTAAAAAAGTTATTGTAAAAAAACCAAAAAAACCATTTTCTACATGTTCCATAATTTTACACTTTTGCCGTTTATTAACGATCCTAGAGATCGTTTATAATTTTGTATTGCTGTCTGTCGTCTGTCTGTCCGTCCATCTATCTGTCCGTGTGAACGATAACTTTGTTTCGAAATGAACGATCGCTTTGTCATCTCCGTTAGTGATAAACTGAATTGCATGAAATTCAATATGGGCATAGCGTGCGCAGTGCCAACTTTCTTATTTATGAAAGCATTGAAATGAAATTCTTCTTATACAGTGCTATTCATTTAGAAGTAGACATAGGGATCTGCCATGTCTACGTTTAAATCACAAAAACTCTGTTGAAGGACGCTTAATTTTATGCAACTAAAATAGCTTCTTAGAACAAATGAAGATTTTGCTGTCATATTAATTAATTGGAATATTCTTGCTTTGGCTTCAGTATTTTTATTTTCCTCGGTGTGCTGAAGTAAAACTTGATATTGCCAAAATATGTGCGCATGTTATTTTGGTTGCATAAAATTAGGCGTCTTTCAGAAGCATTTTTGTCATTTAAAAGTAGACATAGGACATCCCTATGTCTAGTTCTATATGAATAGCACTGTATACTAAAATTAAAGTAGCACGTCAAAAATGGATTGCACCTATGCAATGCTATCTTTCATATTTGTGGCCGGATTTTTACGATTATAACAGAAGTTGCATCTTACAAATGGGAAACGAATGCAAGTGGAAATACGTAAATCGTTTACGATTACTTTTTAACGTATTTTCCTCAAAGTGAAAAATCGCTATTGGTTGCACTTTGACGTCCGTCCGTCCGTCACACGTAGTCCTTCTAAACCACTGAACCGATGCTGGCGATATAGGACTTATTTGTAAGGTCTTGGTCCCAGGATTCCGTGCATACCCATATTTTTTGGTTTTGCGCATGCGCAGTGTCAAAACTGTGGTTTAACAGATGTGCGATGCTAACTTTTTTATTTATGAAGATATTTCAATGGAACTTTATATGTATATAAGTAAAATTAACGACATTTTCAAAATGTTGTTTTGCGCATGCGCAATGCCAACTTTCTTATTTATGAAGGCATTTAAATGAAATTTTATACATACACATTTGGCATAAAGACAAATCTAACACCAGTTGCAAAATTTGGTTTTGCGCATGCGCAATGGCAATTTTCTTATTTGTGGAAGCAGTTAAACGAAATATCATGTTGGCCCCTTGAATGAAACTAAAACTAATACCGGTTTCAATATTATTGTTAACGCATGCTGTATGTTTTATTAATGAAGGTATTCAATGAAATTTCTAATGTAGATAATGCGCAATGCTATTTATTAAAGCATTTATAAAAAGTTCCATATGTAGACACTTCGAATAAAAATAAAACTAATGCCCATTTCAATTTTGTTTTGTATTTGTATACGCTTCACTGTTGTTCATTAAACTGTACCTATAGACTTCGACGTTAGGCGGCTCATTTGAAAGAGAATGGGGTAAGGATCTCGTGCCTATCGGTATTTTTTCCTGGTCCTGGCATTAATATTATTATTTAACTTTTTTACTCCATGATCTTTTGCGCTTAACAACCCATTTCTCTTCGCCAGTAACGATTCACTTCAAAAATGGATCATAGGCCGTCGTAGGTGGAAATTAAATTAGATTTCTACTGATTTAAGGAGGAAAGTACACCTCTCTCATAAACTGCCAAAAGGGGAAGGGAGAAACCAGACTGTCTTCATGACAGGTTGTTTGTTGAAATTCCTAAAAACAAGCCAATTTTATGAAATCGATTATTGAAATCCGTTCTAATTAAATATTGGTTGCTGGGATACCCCGTATGTTAAGATATTAATTGGTACTAAATAATTATGGTCAAGGTCAAATAAACATTGATTACTCTGAAACAAATATGCCTGATATATTTATCATTTTCTTTAAATAACTGGCATCAATAGTCATTTCATTAGTGATAAGTGCAATATGCCGTGTAAGACTTTGTTACGGTTATTTGCATGCGCAGGTTTAATTGCAATAGCTAGTTCCGCGTCATGTAATGACACGGGTAAAAGTTACATGTACAATTCGGTTAACTGGGAATGTGAACATATTAGTGATGTGTTTCCTACGACAAAATCGAATGTGAATAGCATAGTGTGCTTCGATTGCAACATTGCTGTAATAGAGGAAAATACCATTCCGACTTTTCGTGGACCTGTTTTCAATTTGAGCAGCAGTCACGTGAGAAAAATAAAACAAAACGCGTTTAGGACGTTCACAAACAATACACGTAAATTTATATTTGATAAGAATGAACTCGAATCTGTTGCGCCAAAAGTGTTTAGTAATTTTTCCGCGAGTGACGAAATTAACTTGCGAGATAACCGAATATCGAAACTGGAAGCGAGCACATTTGAAGGTACGAATGTGTCGACTTTGGATTTATCTCGTAATAGCCTTACGGACGTAGGTTCGGTGTTTAACGGTTTAAGGGTAACGACATTAAATCTATCGTCAAATGGAATTAAAGAACTTCAGCAAAGTGCTTTTGACCAGGTCATTTTTTGGTCAGGTGGACAGTGGAAGTATGGCACTCAACAACTCGATCTGTCGAAAAACTTGTTGAACAAAATAATCCCAAGCACTTTTAAATCTCCAACCAAGGACAATATTATACGTATGCTGCACTTACAAGAAAATCAACTAACCGTGATAGAAAATGCTACGTTCCTTGAATTAAACTATCTATGGCAATTGCATTTGACAGGAAACCGTATTTCGCAGTTGTATGCAGACTCCTTTAAAGGACTCACAATCCTCAACACACTGTCCTTGGCCAAAAATCAACTTACAAGCTTACCAATCGGCATATTTGGACGTATAAAAAGTCTTGTAGTCTTAGATTTATCGCAAAATTTACTGACAACGTTATCCGCAACTTCTTTTACCGGACTAATGAATTTAAATACCCTAAACATCTCGCACAACAATTTACAAACAATTGAAGACTCGCATTTGGTCGCACTTGGCAAGATACACACATTAGACATCACCAATACGCGAATACACGACATCAACCTGCAGCCGATATTAGATCACCATTACAACCTACGTACCTTGGTCATCAACGATAATCTTTGGACCTGTTCCAAACTTATGGAAATTTACAAGCTGACGAATCGAAGAGGATCAGGTTTCAGCTACCCTTCGCGACACTTTGACGTTCCGAATTTGCACGGAATTGCTTGTTCTCGCCAAACGCTGGACTCCTACGATGACCTATCATTCGATGATTTTTTAAATATTATTTCCAAAGATCACGTCTTTGAAGATGTTTTCGATTATAGCCTTCACAATGAGACCGATCCCGGCTTGAATAGCAAAATTGGGGCCGATATACACAGTATCAAAGGAATGTTTGTTATTTTAACTATTTTATGTGTAGTGCTGTTTCTTCATTGTGTTATAAAGTACATAGTTGCGTTTTTACTTAACAGAAACATTATCAGAAATAGTCCATTTCGTGTCTCGTTCGGTTCAAATCACGACAGGGTAGAATTGTTAAACTAACGTCGAATAAATTCTGATTTTTTAATGTGAACCTTAATGCTAATTTGTGGTGGAACATATAATAAATGGGATAAGTAAATTATTTGGAAACTATCATAATTATTTTAAAATATTATCATAATTTCCAAGTGGTTTGCTTCATCGAAAAATTTCTCACGTCATAGTGCGTCCGGTTAGCAGAATAGCTAAAATGCGATCATTTTGAAATATTTCTGACGTCACCTGCTGATAACTCCACAAACTAAATTGTACTCTCTTTTTTTCAGAGTTTTCAATGAACAAAATTTTAATACAATCACTAATAAATATATCATGTGGGGACCAAGAAGGCGCATCCATCTACACACGTTGAACATAAACACATTCTTTACCAAAGCTGAGTATCGTCCTGGGCCTTTTTCCTCGAATTCGACTTGTTTCCAGATATGAATACGTTATAATAAGTAACGGGGGGGGGGGGGGGTACGTACACACTGCCTTTTAATCAATTTTATCGTCCATACTGGAACAGCGCGCTCTTCCGTTTTCGCGCCAAACCCGACATTTGATGACTGGTTGCATTTTTACACGCTGTAGTGTATACGAGGCTTAAGACTTTAAATGAACTTATAAACATATTCATAAGGATCAGGCAGCACTTAGGCACACCGAAGGCCCATTCTGAGAGCTCGTTCCTCTCAATAAGTTTCCAGATAACTGTCGCCAAGGAGATGATATCACAGAGACCATAAACCACATACTTACTCGGTAGTTTCATCTGCCTCGCCACAGAACCCGCACGTAGGCTACAAGCCCAACGTTATGCAGGTGATGGTTGACCATCCAGTGCCCGGTGAGCACATCGATGATCTTCCTAATCTGGCTCCTGTTCTGTTTTAGAAGCGTAGAGAAGACCCAGATTTGGCAAGAGTCCAATTGCTTGTTGCCACTGAATCTGATGGCGAAGCAATTTCACTGCTTTCGCGATCCAGCTTATGCTATTAGACTCACCTAATCTATCTAGAGTTCGCCGGCAATCATGTGCCGTAGCCGACGGGAACCTGTCTACTGACAGGGTCCTCGGCGCCACCTGACTGTCGCTGCATATGTATATACACTGTGTCCAACATAAGGAGGTAGGTCTATCATGGGGATCTCCGGAACCATAGAAGATACGACGATAGTCAAATTAGAGAAAAGTTGCGCAATTAAACAGTTATTATCGTTCTTTAAAGAAAACCGAACAATTCCGATTACTTCCGAAGATATACCAGAAAAACCTTTTCTGGCGTTATTTAAGCAGATAAGGAAAAATAAAAAACAGATTCTCATTGCCACTTTTTGGGCTCTACAGAGTAGGTAATCATCCTCACCTTTATTTTTGTATGTGTCCCATACAGAGACTTGCTATAACTAGACTGCGCTTAACGTATCTAAGGTGTTGTCGACACAGTATGCAACACACAATGCACCGCGGGGCAAAAATCGCTGAGATGATATGCAATATAATGAAATAAGCTGTTATTTTAGATGTTCCATTCATTAATCATTCTCGTGATTAGCTCGAATTAGTGAACAGATAAATTTCTGTTGAGAATAAACCAATAAACTTAGGTTAACTTGTGCCTATCAACATGTACTCTGTCGATAAATTTTTAAATAATATGCTGATTTTCAACGGATAAAAGTTTAAAGGGCCAATGGATCAGAGCCATTCGAAGAGAAAAATTTACTCCCACCATAGTGCATTTGCGGGGAATGAAGCCGATTTTAGAAAGGTACCGACGAAGGTGTTAAACAATAATGCAATACGGCGCGTTTTCGACTTTCCCATTCACTTAAAATAACGTAGAACTATTATTCGACATCCTTTACCAGCAAGATAAGGGCAGTACCTATTTGCCTATTAGGTATAGACGTAACTAAGTACTTACTGGTACTAAGTATATTTCAGGTTTTGTTACAAGAAAAATAGCTAAGTCTGTTAAATGTTCCATCAGAGAGTCATTCAAAGCTTTTAACTAGAAAAAATCGTGGAGGATTGTTGCACGTATCAAGCGATGCATTAAAAATTTGCCAAATTGCTGAAAATGTGTTTTTTTCATTCAATCCACACCACACCGCGTTGTAAACAAAATGGTTATCAGCAGTCTAAGAAAAATAAATAACAGTTACAGCCCATTTGGGTTTTTGGATAGGCATATATTGAATCAAAATCCGCTAAATAATCATATCTTACTACTTACATCTTTAGTTTTAAGAGTATATTTTCCCATACGTGTTCACCACCAAAATACACATATAAATCAAATTAGGACTAGAGTAAGGCAGTTATATACCAATTTAGTTCAAATAAAATACCAATAAATTCGATTAAAACAGTTAACAGTTATATGTTATTTTTTTTTGCTACTAAAATTTAGAATAAACATGGCTAAAGCAAGCTGCAGAACGTAGGTACGTCTGCCCCGCGATGAACAGTTGGTTGCCTATCCTATCTCGACAACAGGCGTTTATAGGAAAATCTACGTTACGCGCGGTCTAGTTATAACAAGTCTCTGGTCCCATACAAAAGTGCATACTGTATTGAATAGCATTTTTTATTACGAATACAACGATATACGGTACACGCACAAAAAACAAATGTTGACAACTGAGTTGGTTTCAACAGGATGGTGCACCTGCGCACTACTACACTCTAATCGTGAGAGAATACCTAGAAGTTTTCCAGGATTTGTCCGGTAGGTATTCTGAGACGATTAGGGCATTGTCCGCGGGTGCACCATCCTGTTGAAACTTTTGTTTTTTGTGTATGTGACGTACATCGTTGTATTCGTAATAAAAATGCTACTCAATACAGTACTTATGTACATTTTTTACGGGCCATATAAAAAAATAAAGTTGATGATTTCTCCGAAACGAAATGTTGTACTGAAAATCTCTCAAAGGTGTCTTTGTAGAGCTCACATAGTGCCAATGAGAAAGTATTATTTTATTTTTTTGTATCTATTCAAATAACATCAGAAAAAAACCAAATCGGCAAATTTCGGTTTGTTTGGCATATCTTCGGAAGTAATCCGAATTTTAAAGTTTTCTTTGCAGCATGATAATGTTTAATTGCGCAACTTTTCTCTAAGTTGACCATCTTTGTATCTTATATGGATTCGGAGATCCCATGACAGACATCCTTATCTTGGACACAGTGCATACTTATTACGGTAACCTCTACGGGGGTTCTCCTGTACACAGGTCATGATGGCTAACATTTCTGCCTAAAATACGGTGCTATGCTGACCAAGGGAGAAGCTCTCGGTCGATCACCATAGATGCCCATGCTCGTTTTACTCTGCGTTAGGAACCCGTCTGTAAACCACACGAGTTCCTGAGGTTTGAGGAACAGGCAGTCTGAGCTCGGCCATTACTCCCTGCCCGGGGGAGGAACTTTATAGCACTTTGGTGTTACTAAGACAACCCGAATCACGTTCGTTCTTGCGAGGAGGCGATCGGATCTGAGGGTTTCCTCCCAGATCCGCCCGTGCCCAAGGTTACATCAATCCTTCCACTCATCCCAATCATTTAGCCGTATGGAAGCCTTCCGAACCTCTGCCTCTACAGCTAAGTGTAAAGGCATTGGTTCCAGTTTCCAGAAGTGCCTCCATGACCACGGGCGTAGTTAACATGACTCCAGTGACTCCCAGGCCTTACCTTACCTAGCTGCTTTCTGTAGGTTGCCCTACGCATGACAGGCCACCATACATTATTAGTGGCCTTATCACTACAGTGTAAAAGCAATATATCAGTCGACGGTTCAAGTCCCATGTACAGCCAAAAGCCCATCTACAGGCCCATAGACGCTGTGGTCTTTTTGCTTATTCGCTCAATGTGCTCTTTCCAGGTCAGAGTCTATGATAGCTCCCAAATATTTTACTGACCCGGTCAGACCCAGTTCATATCCTCGAAGAGTAAGTCCAACAAGGCCCGCTCTTTTTCTAGGCCAGTAAATCTAGTTGACCCAGGAATTTAGGATACATTTTCTCTTTAGTCCCTCAATCGAAAGGGTCTCTAAAGAAAAGCTTAACCCTGAGTTCGCGCACGCTCAAAATTCACCGTTTTTGCGCAATTTTGAATCATTTTTTTTTCCTTAAACGTTCATATCTCGCGTTCCACTTATCGCACACCAAGCAAACGGTGGTCTTTGTTTCCACGACGACGAGAAGAATAAATAAAAATAAAATCATAATAAATTTGTCAATATTTTAAAAATAAAAGTTAATAGGGAATATGCATGTGGTTTAAATTTACTTGATTCTTTCTCCAGCAAATATTTATTGTCCTGACATTATACTTAAACCATTATTTTCTTATTTAGTTTGTTTTTAATTGCTAAAAATGTTAATTCAAAAGTGCAAAATAAGCGAACGAAATTCAAATTTGCGAAACGCTTCACTAGTGGACGAATGAAAGTGACGTCACGCCACGCGATCGCATTGTTGTGTCAATATTCATAAGTACTTAGTGCAGTAAAATTACAGTTTGGGCAGATTGGGCTGGGTGTTGTCATTTTAAATCAAGTGTCTTCTATGGAAAAAGATCCGCTGAATCCGAACCGAAAATCATAGTCCCCCTAGCCGAAAACTACCGGAATGTAAAAAACGAAGAAAAACTGGCAAGATGTCGTTTCTTTTCGCATTTGACTTCAATTTTATTATATCGTTAACTATTACTGTAAGGGAAAAAATGAAGAGAAATGAATTGGTTTAGAATTGAATTTTCTATAAGATACAGTGGGTATGAAACGTTCATTTTCAAATGTTATTGTTTTTTATGGAAAAATATAAAAAAGCAATCCCGAAGATCAATTGGTTATTACTAAGTAAAATTCGTCCGATCTTTTTGAAAATCCGTATTTGGTCACTTCTTTTGATAACAAAACAATATGACACCCGATCACCGCAAATTTGATAGTTATTGCATAATTAAATAAACAAATTTACAAAACGATACTAAGATCTTTTAAACTG